ATGATCATCTAAGAATTCAAGCAGTATTATCTTGAAAATTGAGCTCTGTTAAGGTATTTTACAACGTGTGTGGCAAGCACTTCTTATATATTATTTATTTTAACCCTCACAACAGCCCTACGACATAGATATTTAGTCTGTTTTGTAAAGGAGGAAAATCTCATGTTTTACCCATCTGTGCATTCCGCTTTTCCATTACAATCTGGGATGTCTGTATGAATGCTTTAGGGGATTTAGTTATTCTGAGCATCACACAGAGTCTCAGATTCTTTTGGTGCTTGACCTTTTAAACCAGAAGTATATTTACTATGTTGTTGTTGTTGTTATATGCCGTTGAGTCGGACCCGACTCATAGCGACCCTTCCTTGGGTTTCCGAGGCAGTATCACTACGGAAGTAGATTGCCCCATCTTCCTTCGGAGGAGTGGCTGGTGGGTTTGAACCGCCAGCCTTCTGGTTAGCAGTCAAGTGCCTTTTAGCCACTGTGCTACCAGAGCTCCTATTGGTGGTGATAAATCAACTGTTCATTATCTTTATAATTCAGCTGAAGCCAGGTGGTAGAGAAACTACAAAGATTCTTGTGGTTTAGTCTCACCCAGATCTCTGTCCTCAGTGCTGTGGAAGATTGTCAAGGATTCACAGAAAAGTTGCCTGAGTGTACCTTTTCATGTATTAAAGCCAGGGTGAACTTCTTATGCATCGTGGCAGAAGTTCACTAACATGTATCTGCTTGGGTCAAGGCAGTAGATTCTGACAGTGCAAAGATCACAACCCGGATTATAATGATGTGGCATGCTTTATTTTCCTACCTTCCACAACTACTAGACTTACACAGTCCAGAGCAACCTTTAGCTAGGATCTTTTCAGTGGTTGCCTGCCTAGGGAGACACTGAAGAAAAATCATATTGAGTGATATTAGTAACATAAATAAGGAAAACAGTATTCTCTCTTTCTTACCTTTCACTTTATTGTGTCCTGATGTTTTGCGTGGACAGTGGCTTGGAGCTTAATGTCTTTCTCTCCAGAAAGCCTCAAGGAATTGAGAGACAAGGGAATGCCAGAATAACTTCAGGTTAACTAGAAAATGCTATCAGCATGAACTCAGTAGATCAGCTTTATCCAGATTGTGGGAAGACCCTCATGATAACCCAGCTCAATTATTTAACCTGTGAAGAGCCCAGGTTCCAGACATATAAATCTTGTTTAACATAGTCATGTGTCTGGCTTTTTGCCAGGCTAATATTTGTTAACAGGCAGATAGTTAGTATGCATGTAAGGAATTGAGAGAAACTGACCAACATTTCCTGCAATGTGGTGTGATATTCTGGTCACTTATCTAACTTCTAACCCAATAAACAAGATTAGGCATAATGGACTTCTTTTTCAGTGTTTCCATTGTTCAGAATGTTACACGTACCTTCATGCCCTGATGCCAGGTTACTGAGACATATTTTTCATAGCTTTTTTCCATTTGCTTTTTGTATTTTTATATGTCCCTACCTCATGCTATTTATTTATTTATATCTGTTTCACTGGTCACTATAGGAAAAAAAATGGAATGGGTGATAATTGTGTCACTCCTAATTACGGACTCCAAGAGGACTTTTTATCAGGAAAGCTCTGCTTCCTCACAAAATTGAAACTCTTTGTTGAAGTTCATATAGAAATATTAAACTTGCAGTTCTGCTGCCAGAAGTAGCAGTTTTCCTAGCAGCAGTTCTGTGATTGCCACATGAAGAAGTTACTTTTTTAATTAATGAAAATATTCAAAACTGTTTATTATTAATTACAGAAAGGAAATAGGCAAGGTGGACTTATCAGTAGTACCATACAAAAGAATTTATATAGTTTCAATATAAGAAACTTTAAAGATGATAAAGTGAGATGAATTGTTATCTCCTCTGCTGTTTGCTGCTTCATGAATATTGAAATATTTTGGATCTTTTGACTTTTTGACTATCAGAGCATGAAGAAACGTGGCCATTCTGATGGTGATGTGAAAAGGAATCTGGTGCAAGTTTTCTTTCACTGCCTGTCCCTTTCATCTGTTTTTAGTAGAATCTACTGCCACCAAATGTTGACTGTCTGTAGCAAGCTGATGTCCCTATTGCTTTTTAAAAAATAAGAGTCTCTGGCTATATTCTGACTTTGGGGATGAGAGAATTTGTCTAAATATTTTTGACATTGACCCCTTGAAGAATATCTGTGCCAGAATGAGAGTATGATATTATTTACAAGCTCTGACCAAAGAATGAAAGTACCAGAAAATACAAAGAGACTTTTGGTTTGCCTTGTCATTGCCTATCCAGACTTCCTTTGCCTCTCTTCCTTCTTCTGTCGTCCCCTTTACCCCCTTCCTGATTTCTCTGCTTAAGTAAGGTGATAGAATAAAGCTTAGCTTGTCTCACTGTTAATTTTAAAATCAAAGTCTTTAAAAAAAAAAAAAAAAAACAACGCAGAGTCCATACCTTTTCTTGGGTTTACATTACTTAGCAGCCAGTCAACCTTTGTCATGTCTAACTTTTAAACTATTCTAATCATTCATTTATAGTAGTTTGTTTTATTTGGTATGTGAGCTTTACGCAGATACTTGTATTGACCACAGTTAAACAGTTTTCCATGAAAACGTTAAAGTGAGTGAGCTGTGCATTTTGTGTCACCATAAAGACAAAATTGAGTAAACCCAAGAGCTAGATTACCTATGCCGTGAAAACCCACATATTTGTTTTATGTTTATAAATAAATTTACATTAACGGTTCTTTTTGAGGCTTCCCATTTTATGAGAAAAGGGGGTACTGAAATGATGTCTTGTGTTATAATTTTGTCATCAGGGATTAATGGGACACAATGCAAATATCTTCTGTAGAGCTCACCTGGTCACCTGGTCAGAAAATAAGTGTGTAGCACTTCAGCCTTTAGTGTTGAAGCAGAATAAAACAACCATAATTCTTTCTCCAATAGATTTGTTTTCTGTTGAACATTGTGCCCTCAGTTTTAGTTAATGATATTTTATCAATTAGAATGTACATTGAATTTGCTGTAATGGAGTCCTGTAATAAGTCAGGAAACCAAAAACTATCAAGTGATATTGTCTCCCATTTAAAAATACTTGCCTTGTATTAGTTGGCCCTCAAGAATATACTATCCAGTCTGTTACTGTCATGATTATCCTGGAAAGAGGTTTTGGTGGACTTTTCTTCCCACATTTAAGAGAGTTCTTAAAAGTGAGTAACTTAATTAGATTAGACAAAGAATGATTCCACAAGAAACATTTGTTTGTTGGATACATTTGAATCATGCTGCAGGTCTTTAAAACATTTATAAATGTATTATCCTAGAGGAAATCAGTTCGTCTATTTAAATTTGTATAGTTATCATTAACACGTTTGGATTTTTAATTTTGCAGTCGTGGGCCAACTCATTCAACTTTAAAATATTAAAACAAATCAAATAGTTGTAATTGGACAGTATTCTTTGCTGTCTTTTTAGAAAAGTTATATCTGTACTGAAATGTATTTTATCTTTGTAGTTTTAATAATTTGGGCTTAGAAAGTAAATAATAAAGAGAAGTTCATGGTGTCAACTTGAGGATTTATCTTTTCTCATCGGTGGAATAAAGACTGTGTTAATTGTCATCTTGATGGATGAGTTTATTTAACTGTAAAAAAAAAAAAAAAAAAAAAAAGCATATTATCAACGAGTATATCCCAAATTGATTGCTACATAAAAGAGCCCCAGTTTTCTTTAGGAATTGATCAGCAATGAAATCCTTTCTATAAAGAAAAGCTGTTATTGCTGTTGGTCCCAGATTTCTCCTCTTCCCACGTACCCCACCAAAGGAAAAAGTGCTATGTACCTATTTTGTGCCCTGTGATTTTACACATACTGAATAAGATCCCAGATTGTATGTTGCAGTGGTCCTCGATTTGCTTACTGAATGAATATTATTGAGTAAATCCTGTAGTCCTTATGTACAGAACTACTCTAAGGGTTGTTAAACTTAAAGAATAGTGCATATAATTAAAAAAAGCAACAAAGCCAAATTATGAAATCTTCTGGGAGTCTTATTAGTTTACTCTGATGCTGCTATTCTTTTTATTTTTATTGTGTGATAATTTGACAGGAACCCCTTGGTCAAATTCTATCTGTCTCTCTTTATCCCATTTTACCATTAGAAAATGTTGCGATGAAAGATCCTCCGGACTTACTGGACAGGCAGAAATGCCTGAACGCCTTGGCGTCTCTTCGACATGCCAAATGGTTTCAGGTTGGCTCTTTGTTATTGTCTTACTATTATTGTAGCTTTGTGCAGGTTTCATTTGCATTACCTGCCACTTAATGGTTTGGTTTCTCTGTGATATAGAAAATGGGGTATTTTCTACCTCACAGAATGTTGTAAGAGTAAATGAGTAAATTTAGGTCCAATGCAAGTTTTACCATAGTTAATAATATTTTATTATCATATAATTCTTTTTTTGCTTAATACTCTGAATTTCAAATGATAGCTTATAAAATACAAACCTAGGTGAGACAGTTGCCTCAAGTAGGGTTGCCATGACTACAAAAGGAATTGTAGTATTAGGCTTCTTTTAGTATTAAATCTGCCTTTCTAAACCAAAATTTTACTACTTTCGATAATTTGATTTTTCAGTTTGCTTGGCAATTGATTGGCTAATTAGTATTCACTTTAAAGAACCCCTATCCATTATCAATGTGCTGGAAATGAATGTTTTCAACAAGGATATTGGAATCATTTTGTTTGTTTTAGGCAAGGGCAAATGGATTAAAATCATGTGTAATTGTCCTCCGCATTCTGCGTGATTTGTGCAACCGAGTCCCCACATGGGCACCATTAAAAGGATGGGTAAGTACGTAAATATGGTTAAAAGGAAATTCTGAAGCTGTAGTCAGGAATTCCTGTAGAAATTCCCTATCACTGTAAAATGGCTCTATTCTGAATTAGATAAGATATGCATTCTCTACTTTAGCTCTGGAAAAAAAAGTAGCATCTTTTTTATATGATTTCTTTGTTTTTGTGCCTATAACTTGTCTCTCTTGTCTCATCATATTCATGTTATAGGTATTTTTATGATAAAAAGGTTTTATACTTTTTAGAAGTGAATATCTTCTTGTATTTTTTACTTTTTCCTGATAGTTGATCACTCTTCACCTAGTGTCCATGGAAACCTGCTTAACTGGCACATTTCTCTTTTAGTGCCTACTTCCATTTAAAATAAAATTAACCTGATATCAGTATAAAGCTCCTATACATTCTTTCCCTTTCTCTTTGAGTATACAACAAAAATAAATAAATAAATAAATAAATAAAACCACCATACCCACTGCCAGTGAGTCGATTCTGACTTATAGTGACTCCATTTAGTTTTTAAGGTGGTAAATCTTTACAGAAGCAGATTGTCTCATCTTCCTTCCACGAATTGGGTGATGGGTTTGAACTGCCAACCTTCCGGTTAGCAGTCATGCCTTGGGCACTGTGCCACCAAAGCTGCTCTGAATATAGACTCTTAAAAAATAAGTTCATATTAGTAATTAAAGTTAAACAAGCAGTACACTTAACCTGATTTTGGGTATAGTATATAGTGTATATTGCAAACCTTAATTTTAAGGAAATTATTATGTGTGACCCAATTAAAAGCACAGCTAAAGACATAAATAATTTAAATAAATCTGTAAAGGTCATTTATAAATTAATTTAGCAATTATTACCTTGATATAATATCATCAGTTTTCAATTTATTAAACATGGGGATTTGTTTTTTATCTTTATTCTAATTGGGCCAATCTGAAATTAAATCTTCTTGTTTTGAGATATTTGTGGTTGGATTGCTTCCTAAGCTGAGTAGGAGATAAGTGGTCTGGTTTATACAATGACTACTTTTTAGCTATTACTAACTTATATAGCTTGTCAAATCTTTTATAAAATCAATTTGATGACCATGGTTTCTTTCGTCATCCTTTAGGGGTAAGTGAAGATGAAGTTTCTGTAACAAAAATATCTTCTGAATATCTATTATCTCAAAAATGCTCAGTTTAAAAACTCTGGTCAGGGTAAAAATTAATAATCACCTGTGGGAGAAAAGTTAAATGGGCCCTTAATGTAAAATTCACTTTGACTCTTTGGCCTCACTTGTAGATAGTAATGTCAGCTCACTTTTAACTGGAATCCTTTTAACACTTGCTGCATGTACTAATTTGTAATTTAATATCTTCTAGCCACTAGAGCTTATATGTGAAAAGTCTATAGGTACTTGTAATAGACCTTTGGGCGCTGGGGAGGCCTTGAGACGAGTAATGGAGTGTTTGGCATCTGGAATACTACTTCCTGGTAAGGGCTTCAAACTCTGGAGGCAGAAGAGTTAGAAAAATTTCATTTTAGTTTATTTTTCTAAATTTGTGCTAAATTTGTCCTTTGTATAGGAAAATGATGCATAAAAGTGATTCATATGAAGTTTTTAGCAATTAGAATGTTTTGAGTATTGGAAAAGTGCTGTAAAATCTCTTTTAATAATTATTTGTGTTTTGTATGTACTAACATAAAAGGTACTAATAAGATATTGTGCCTGCTATGAGTTTGCTTTACCTAGAACTCTGAGTTTGAAAATGAAGATGTTTGGTGAAAATCTATGAAGTTCATTCTGTTTGTAATCTGGTGTTAAATTTGGAAATATTAAATTAGGTCTTATTTTTTGTATGTAATTCCTGTAAAGATTTGGAATAATTCATCTTGCTGTTTCTGAATCCTCAAAGTAAGACTCAGTTTTGAGCTTAGGTATGCAAATGACTTCCAATAAAATAAGGACCTTTAAGTACAAACAATGAAAATAAGATTGCCCTTTTTACTCTCCTTAATTATGTAGATTATTAGTTCTTTTTTTTTTTTCTTCTACTTTCTTTTGTGTTAATTTACCAAATTCTAAACTCAGTTCTAAATGATACTTGTATTTTGCCTTTACCAAAGGTGGTCCTGGCCTCCATGATCCTTGTGAGCGAGACCCAACAGATGCTCTGAGCTATATGACCACTCAGCAAAAAGAAGATATTACCCACAGTGCACAGGTACAAGACCAGGCATATCACTGTGAAATATTAGAGAGATTTTTATCTCTTTTTCTGAATTTTTCTATTTAAACACTGTTTTCTTGCCTGTTTAGACTTTTGCCATCATAATATCAACAGTATCAATCACTGCTATTGAGTTGATTCCAACTCATAGCGACCCCCTTTGGGTTTCTGAGGGGGTAAATCTTTACGGAAGTAGATTGTGCAGTCTCCTTCCGTGGAGTGGCTGGTGAGTTTGAACCACCAGCCTTCTGGTTAGCAGTCAAATGCCTTAGGCACTATGCCACCAGAACAGAACTCCTTAATATGAACATTTAATGGATGTCTTTTTAGCTAGATGTTTGGATGTCTTTTTAGCTAGATGTTTTAAGATTTTTATGAATGGCTATTGAAATTGGAAAAAATACAATGTTTTGTTCTTTAGCATGCACTCAGACTATCAGCCTTTGGCCAGATTTATAAAGTGCTGGAAATGGACCCTCTTCCATCCAGTAAGCCTTTTCAGAAATATTCCTGGTCAGTTACTGATAAAGAAGGTGAGTGTAAAAGATTTTTATTGGGTCTAGGGGTTGGCAGTCGTGGATGGTCATGGGATGTGTCTCTTAATAGAGCTCAGATTACTTAATAATTCTAAGTCACATATTAGAAAGTTTATTGCTTTTCTTTCTGACTTTCTTTTCTGTCCCCATTAGCTTGCTTTCATTTATTCTTATTAGAATACTTACTTGTTTATGTGGGCCAGATTCTATTACTACATAGTCTTAGGGACCATACTTTGAGAAGATATCACAGAGTTTCATGATTTGTATCAAGCTTACAAATGTCACATAAACCAGAAAGAGAAAACAAAAATCAGGAGAAAATTATATTGGACAATTTAGCACCATCATCCATTTATACTATTCTAGATGAATTCAGAGTTTCAATAGAAAGAACACAGGGTCTGGGTCAGTATGATCTGTGTTCTAGATCATACTGCTCCACTGCTTGCTAGATGTAGGCCTTGAGCAAATTAGTTCATCCCTCTCTGTAAGAATATTACCTCCAACTTTACTAGCTGTTGTCTGGTTAAAATACTCAACTCAGTGTCTGGAGTATAGTAGATACTCAGATGCAATTTAACTCACTCTCTTACTATGCCACTGTCATAGATTGAATTGTGTTTTTCCAAAGTAAATAATCAATTTGGATGGGCTGTGATTCTCAGGGGAGCTCTAGTGGCATATGCTGGTTTGGTAGTTACGTAATGATGTAATTTGGCAACTGTGTACTGATGTAAACATCATCCACAATATGATCTGGTGTGATCAGTCAGTCAGTTGTAAGGGGTTTAAGGTGGGGTGCAACACCCTTAGTTGGGTCATAGCGCAGGTCTGATGTAAAGGGATCCTCTCTGGATGTGGTCTGCATCACCTTTTATCTTGTAAGTGATGAAAGGAGAGAGAAGCAGCAGAGAAGGAGGGACCTGACTACCACTAAGACAGAGAAGGAGCTGGGAGTGGAGCACATCCTTTGGACTCAGGACCTTGTGCCCACAATCTTGTAGACTCAGGGGAAGATTATGCCAGGATTCATAGAGATCTCCAAGGAGTTGCTAGACCCGTCAGTGTTGAAAGGTAATAAGAACCTTCCTTCAGAGTCAACAGAGAGAAAGAAAGCCTTTCCCTAGATCTGGTGCTCTGAATTTGGACTTCTAGCCTCCTGTACTGTGAAAGAATAAATTTCTGTTTGTTAAAGCTATTTGCTGTTATAGCAGCACTAATAACTAAGAAGGAGCTCTGGTAGCATATTGCCTAAGGCACTTGACTGCTATCCAGAAGGCTGGCAGTTCAAACCCACCAACCACTCCTCGGAAGGAAGGTGGGGCAATCTACTTCCATAGTGATGCTCAGAAACCTAAGGGGGGAAGGGTCGCTATGAGTCGAGTCCAACTCGATGGCAAGTAACAACAACAACAACAACAAACAAATAACTAAGAATCTGGTACCTGAAGAATTGGTTGCTGCTCTTACAGACGTCTAAGATATGGAAGCAGTTTTGAAATTGCATAATGAATATTGGCCTATAGCGTTTTAAGGTGCCTGATAGTAAAAGCAGGAGCTCTGATAGCATAGTGCCTAAGGCACTTGACTGCTAACCAGAAGGCTGGCAGTTCAAACCTACAAGCCACTCCTCGGAAGGAAGGTTGGGCAATCTACTTCCATAGTGATAATGCCTCGGAAACCCAAGGAGGGGTCGCTATGAGTCCGTACGACTCGATGGCAAATAACAACAACAATAGTAAAAGACCAAATTGCCTGTAAGAGACTCTTGGTGCAATTATGGATGCTAAAGGCAGTTCTGATGAGGGCTTAGAAGGAGATGAGGAGAGCTATAACACCAGAGACAGCGCAGATGATGAGAGATGGCAGCAGAGAAATGGTGGTAGCCAAACCAGAAGACTGGTGTTAAACAGTGTGGGAGCGGACCCACAGAGTGAGAGAAATGAATGCCTTCAGGCAGGAGGCTTCCTGGTGGAATGGGATGGCTTTAGCACTTGTTGCCAGAGCTAGAGAGAGGGTCCTGAGTGTCTTCAGGCCGAGACTTACTGGTAGAGCGAGGGGCCACTGGGTATATAACAGTAGAATTAAAGAGCTTGTAACATTGCTGGAGCAGGGCAGAGGCTGGGCTGCCCCAGGAGGCACCTTGGGAAGCAGAAGCTGAGGAGACAAGGAACATGGGAAGCAGAGCTGCCTCAGTCTCAAAGGGTAGAGCCACAGCCTCGGGAGTTTTGAAGGGTGGAGCCACAACCTTCTAGGTTTCAAAGAGTTAGATCTTCACCAACTTGGTTCCAGAGTGTGGGGCTGCCATTTACGAGTGCCAAGAGTATAGGGCTGGGTCTTCTGCCCAAAGCTGAGGGGGCTGTGCCCAAGGGGCAGAAGGACAGGACCTGCTGGAGCCAAGGGGGTAGAGCCAGCACTCAGTTGAACTAGGAGAATGAGGCCGCCACCTAAAGCTGAGGGAACAGAGTTGCCATCCCAGTGGGCCTGGAAGGCAAAGCTGAAGCCCAGAGCTGAGGCGCTTCCACTCAGAATCCAAGAAACATCGCCAGCACCCAGAGTATGGAGGGCAGAGCCATTGCCTAGATGCTCTCACACAAGATTATATCCAAGCCTTGAGAGCTGTTGTAAATTGTCCTGCTGTTTTTTTTTTTTTTTAAGCTTCTTGGTGCCCATTATCCTATCTTCAGTTTTTTTTCCTTGCTTGTAGTGAAATGTAGTCTACCTTGGACCTATTCCTCCATTGTGTTTTTGAAGCAGATAATTTGTGTTCTAGATTCACAGATGAAGAGGAATTTTGTCCTGGGGTGGAATTTGGACTTGAAATTGGTTTAAGACTTTTAGGATGGTAAAATGGGGTGAAGTATTTTGTATGTGGCAAGGACATGAATTTGTAGAGGACAAGGGATGGAATTTTGTGGATTGAGTTGTATCCTCAAAAAATACGTGTCAGCTTGCTTGGGCCATGATTCATAGTGGTTTGGCAGTTACATAAGGATGTAATTATCCCCATGATGTGATCTGATATGATCAGCCAGTCACCTGTAAGGAAATTAGTGTAGGATGTAGCACCCTTACTCAGGTCACAGCCCTGCTGTGATTCAAGGGGAGTTTCCCTGGGGTCTGGCCTGCATCACCTTTTATCTTACAAGAGTTAAAAGGAGAGAGAAGTGAGCAGAGAAGGGAGGGACATGACTACCACTGAGAAAGAAGACACTAACCGTCTAGATTCAGGGTAAGATTAATGCCAAGATACATGGAGATCTCCAAGGAACACTGGGCCCACAGATGTTGCAAGGACCTTCCCCCAGAGCCAGACAGAGAGAAAACCTTCCCCTAGAGTTGGTGTTGTCAGTTCGGACTTCTAGCCTCCTAAACTGTGAGAGAATAAATAATCTGTTTGTTAAAGCCATGCACTTGTGGTGTTTCTGTTACAGTGGTACTAGATAACCAAAATAGCCACACACACACACACACACACACATTATTTTTTTCTTTTATTTCCTGATTTGCTGTTATACTGGAGAGTGGGGTGTTTAACAATTTAACACTAGATATTCTTCATCTGGAACCAAATTCACCTCCTCTGTATATCAGAAATAGTGACATGGCTCAATCTGTATTTAGACAACAGAATTCCATTGAGTCTAAAGACTTTCAGGTAGTGTAAGGTCAAAACTGTTTATATAATAATATTAAAATACCTTTTTCCTTTTCAATGGAAAAGCAAAAAAATTCTTTCTTTCGTGAGTGTTACGGTATAGTTTTCCACAGGCTACATATGATGTGTGGTGACATCATTTTTCTGATGTCTAGTGGAATATTTCTTGTGTATTAAAAAAATTGTCTTAATTTCTAATATGCTAAATAGTGATTGATATACTCACAAAACAAAACTTCTTTATGGGTCTCAATGATTTTTTAAGAATGTAAAAGGATTCTGGGATCAAAAAGTTTGAGAATCACTGCCTTAGATTGTAACTTCTTTAGAGGCAAGGAGTCCCTCACATCCTGCCACATCATCATTGCAAACATACTAATGCTCATTAAATGTTTGTGGAATGAAAACCATTTTCTTCCAGGAAAAGGGGACTCATACAGTGGCAAAGAATTAATGAAAGGGATTCAAATCTGTATGACATCAGTCTTTGTAGATTGTATGAGTGAATACAATTTAAAAAAGTGTGTGTGTGTGTGTATATATGTTCTTATGATTAATAATGAAATTTTATTTCAGTCTCTGAATTCTAGTAGTTTTTTTTTTTTTTTTTTCCCCTCTCTCTCTATATTACTAGAGAGGAGCTCTGGTAGCATAGTGTCTAAGGCACTTGACTGCTAACCAGAAGGCTGGCGGTTCAAACCCACCAGCCACTCCTCGGGAGGAAGGTTGGGCAATCCTACTTCTGTAGTGATACTGCCTCAGAAACCCAAGGAGGGGTCGCTATGAGTTGGGTCCGACTCGATGGCACATAACAACAACAACAACAACAGCATATTACTAGAGAAAGCAAACCTGCTGTTATGTGACTCTGATTTTTTTTTTTTTTTTAATGCTCTATTTCAAAAGTTTGGGAACCATTGGCCTGCCGATTTATAGCATGAAATAGAGCCATACTGCCAGTGTTTTCATCCTAGCTCTCCCAGTTCCTTGATGTATTACCTTGAGCAAGTCACTTAACTGTTTGAACCTTGGCTATAAGGTGATATAACCCAGGACATTGTTGTCAGACCCTTACTGCACATCCCCTCATGTTTTCATGTTTTTAGGACCTAGCTTCATGGCGTTCACTTTTAAACTTTACTCCAGTAATTCTTGGTGATTTCAGTATGCATGTAGATGATTTTTTTCAAAACCCTGTCCTCTTAATTCCTTGACTGTTTCTCCTACAAATGTTTTGTCTTCTATCTCATGACCTATTCCATGTGTCATAGACCTTATCTTCACCAGTAACTGTACCACCTTCTCCATAAATCTTACTGTCCAGCTAGCTCTTGTC